CAAGCTGCAAGTACTTACTATGATACCTACTCATATTAGTACATAAAATATCGCATTTGACTGCAGTAAAACACTTTTGAGTGAACATACATTCAACGTACGGACAGGAAATCCGAATCATGTAGCAGCACTGGGCGCGACGTATGCGGCGTACGTGCGCTGGCTCGGCTCCCGCGCACCTAATATCGTACGATTAATTACTCTCGACACCTCATCTACTGCACTGCTGAGAAATGTACTGTGGGCTGAGTGTAAGTGTAGATACATCAAACTAGAGTAAAAATTGTATGAAAATTTTAGTTCTTCAACGTTTCCGCTAGGAGCGCTGTACAATCCGTCATACATTTAATGTCCGTCATAATTTTTTAATAAAATTGTAATAAAATGACATTAAATCAGTGACTCAGTGAGGACGTTTGATGTAAACTCACACTAAGTCCTCTGGATTGATACCTGAAAAGTGTTTAGTAGTTCAGACGTCAGATCTATTTCAGCAGTAAGTACCAAGTAATGCTTGACAAGGCGACACTGTAAGAACAGACAACGGCACATCAAAGTCAAAGTCGGCCGATAGCTGGGTCGGCTTCCAATTTGTATTCTCATACATTGCCGATTTCTCAATCGGCCGATACCAAGTCTGTGTAATGTGCGCACTTAACAGTATCAATATGTATGGATATTCAACTATTTAACAGCCCAACCAATCGGCCGACAAAAATTCGGCAGTCTGTCGGGGTGCCTATGTGTTATTAATAGTATCACAAAAATGTATAGTAATGATAAATGCTGTCGAAATTTACATTACAACTAGCGGCCGCCCGCGACTTCGTACGCGTGAATCCCGTTTTTCCCGCTAATTCCCGTTCCCGTGGGAATTTCGGGAATTCCTTTCTTAGTGCACCTNACATACACTTACACAACACACTCGTCACTCACCGTGAGGAATCACTCAGTCATACACAACACATACATGTCTAGTTTTATTGAGTATTATTGTTTTCTTCTATTATGTTCTGTCTTTCGATACATAATTTAAGCTTTGCCTGGCTCCCATAGATTTTCGCCACTAGCCATCCAGTCTGCAACCTTGTCGTGTTGATAAGGTCATTAGATCTGATTTTCATTGGCTTTTAAATTAAATTGATTGTGTGCCGTTACGATTCTACACACGACCTATAATCTTTTAAATTTGGTGATTGCTCCTGTGGGAGCTTGGCCTCACAAATTTACTAACTTCTCATTGTAACTTTGAAGNCCCACGCTATCACTTGTTTTTGAAGGAAGAGGTGAAAACTTAAAATTAAAAACTTAAATCCTTGTAAATATGCGAGAAATGGGTCAAGCCCCAAATTTAAAGTATTTTCACCGATAAAATTGTCCATAGATTACGCCCTTAAAGTTTGATCACTACATGCCCGGACACACTGTATATTTAGATGCAACATTCATAATAATCAATAGTCAATACCAATCAACTCTACCCCCCTTATTAATATAAAGTTACAACTAGGATGAACTCTGGATTAAAATGACATTTCCAGAGTTCAACTAGGGTGTAACTTTTATTAATAAGGGGGTAGAAGTTACAAGTGGTAGGACTTGTAACTTGTAGAGTTCTTTTTAATGATAAGGATTCGTGGAAACTTACCAAACACGAATAGTACGAGAGCCCACGACCAAAACCATGTCTCATAGCAATACGGCAAAAACCCTATAAAATCGTTAGATTGTATGATTCTGAACCCGACTAGGTGTGTAGTAACGGTCGAAAGTGTAGCAACTGCGTGGGAGGCCATTTCTGCTGTGTCAAAAAAAAAAGACAGTCGGTATTATAGCAATACGTCTGATAGTGAAAATGTACATAAATTTTATAATTGTATTACGAAAAAGTTTGTTTTCAGACATTTTGCGCGTAGCATATAGCCTGAGCGCATTTTTGAAAATGTCAACAAATTTAGCCGACCTGTATCATAGCAATACGGATAATTTTTTTTTTCACCTTTTCGTATTGCTGCCATGATTACCAAAAACCTGTTTTCAGACACTTTAAGTGTATCAAAAAGTTGTATGATAGAGAAGGTGCTACACTTAATTTGTCTGATATAAATTTTTTGCACATGTGGACAACTTATTTTATCATGTCCAACAATTTTCAGACATATTGCTATGATACCGATCGGTAAAATTTGTTAACATTTTCAAAACGGTCTCAAAATTTAATGCGTTCACATTTCCGTCTGAAAATTGTTTTGTTCGCATCAAATAACCAAAATTTACTAATAAAAAAGATTTTCAGACGTATTGCTATGAGACATTTTTTTTGTCTCATTTTTAATTTTTTTAAGTGATTTTACGGGTTTGCGCTACACCACTAACGTCTGAAAATAATGTTTCCGGTATCTCAGAACTATCATTCAACTACAGTCTGCAAATCAGACATATTGCTATGATGCAGTTCGGTAAAATTCTTTGACAATTTTGAAAATTCGGTCTGATCAAACGCTACGCGGAAAATGTCTGATATTGGTATTTTCGAGTTCAGGATAATCGTATCTATCGATTTGATGCGGTTTTGGCCGTATTGCTATGAGACAAAAATTTTGGTCGTGGGCTCTCGTACTAGAAAAGAAATGGAAAAAGGTCGCAAAGTGCCTAATTGAAAATAATATTTCTGGTCGAGATTCGTCGAGTCCGAAGCAAGTTTAAATTGAGCGGTTCAATTAGGATCCTTGTCCGTAGAAAGAAATTACGAAGAGAAAACTTTCCCGAAACTTCTGGCGAAATCATCCGTAATGACTCTTCTTATAAAACTGTTTCTACAGATTTTCTCTTAAGGCTCAAAATTATTTACCTTTCAATTTGTTTTATCGAGAATTCAATTTGCTAATTGGTCTTATTATGGCTTTTGAATGAATTGTGTCTGTCGTCGGCAAATTGCATTATTCATCATTTCACAAACGACTAAGTTTGCAAAAGTTCGCTGATTTAAATTAAAAAGTGAATTGTAAATGAGCTTTCATAAGTACCTACTCATGAAACGCAGCTAACGATTCGAAAGCTACACAAAACTTGAGAAATTGTATTTCCAAATAAGACTCTTAAAGGAAAATCTTATCAGATGCGAGACTGATGACCAAGCTACGTAACATAAAATTAGGCCTGAATACCGCGTGACTGAAACCCTACCAAAAAGTCGTACGTAAGAGTAGGTATTGTTAACATAATCTAAATAAATAAATAGAGTTCAAATTCTAACTTTTATTTGCCACAAACATAGTGAAAACAGTGTAGTGCTACACTTGCGCCTCTTGCCAATAGCTACGTAACTAAGTCCAGCTAATTAATCCATTAATTCACTATCAACGACCTAAATCTTGTTACAATCATTGCAGTTCCAGGCGCTCATTCCAGCTCTCGTTACGTCACCGGCTTTCCAACAAAACGCTGCGACAGAAACCTGGAGGATGTTAGTTAGTATTAGCACTAAATAGCCAAAACAGATCAGTATAATATTATATTTTGTAGCTCGGAACACGTCATGCACGATAATGTCATAGGTAAATTAATATCAACTCAAATTCAGATCAAAATAGCTAATTAATTCAATCACGAAGTTACGTAGGAATCTGTCCTTATAGTTTATGAGAACAACAAACCTGAATTAGCTAGCTAGTATGAGGATTCCTATACATTTGGGTTATAACTTAATAGCTTAGGATTTATTTATTTATTTACTAGCTTTCCGCCCGCGGCTTCGCCCGCGTAGAATTTTGTCTGTCACAGAAAAACTTTATCGCGCGCGTCCCTGTTTCAAAAACCGGGATAATAACTATCCTATGTTCTTTCCCGGGACTCAAACTATCTCTATGCCAAATTTCATCAAAATCGGTTGCGAGGTTTAAGCGGGAAAGCGTAACAGACAGACAGACAGACATACAGAGTTACTTTCGCATTTATAATATTAGTTGGGATTTATTTAAAGAATATTGCACACACATAGGAATAATCAGTGCAAAAAGGCGAGCTTAATGCAATATGGCATTCTCTCCCAGCTGACCTTTCTATGCTAGATCTTGATCTTTTATAGAAATTGTTTATTACATCTCGCACTGGTGGCATTTGATATCCGCCGGAAACGTGCTAGCTGCTAGACAGTAACAACTGGACATCAACTACCTGTCGATATTACACTAGATCTCTTACATTGGCGGTTAGCAAGCTAGTTATAATTAAGACTTGCCGTGGTAAAGACGAGAGGTGACGATAAGAGCCNAAAAAATATCAGTCTTTAAATCAGTCAGTTATACAAACATAATTAAATATAGCATACTCGTAGGTGAACATTATTATCATTACTTGCAAATCAAATTAGTTAAAAAAAGGAAAGACTAGGCCAGTCTAAACGCAACGTTAACCTATTAAATAATTAAAAACTTACATTTGTCTAAGAAAATAGGCTTTCAAGAATATTAAAGCTTCAAATTCGAAACTCGAGAATTCTCGAGCTTCGGTAATTTTTTTCTCGTCTCGAATGAAGCCAAATTTCTCGAGTTTTCTCGAGTTCGAGAAAGCTCGAGCAGAAACCCTAATTACAGTCAACAAGCCATAGAACAAGGTTCAAGTAGTTTCAAAGCAAGATCTGTCAAGGCTTAGTCGAAATCGACCACTTTATGTTTCATTCCATACAACGAAAACGGAAAATATTTTTTTCCAGTCAAACTATTGGTTTTAGAGAAAAACTTGTGCAGCATTTATTCATCAGAATAACGTAACCTATCGATAGGTATTTTTTTCAAATAGAAATTGTGAAAAAAATCGCTATGTCCATAAATCGCAATTTCGCTCCATAGTGCGCCATCTTGATGAGTGCAAATGCGATAGTCCTCCTACCACTTTAGCGCTCACAAGTTGGCGCCACTGTCTTCGCGACTAGCAAGTGACAGGACCTTACTCTACAGTGGCGCCAACTGGTGAGCGCTAAAACGATAGCCCTCATTACATCGCAATAGGTTTCATTTTCGTATGGTCGTGTACCTGGAGATCGGGCGCGAAGACGAGCAGCGCGCGCGCGACCCGCAGGCGGTTCTGCTTGGCCAGCGGGCCCGCGAAGGGCGCCTCGCGCGCGCTCTGTTCCAGCTCAATAAAGACCACTAGTAGGCAAAATACGGTATCAATTACATCGGAATAGGTTTCATTTTTGTATGATTGTGTACCTGTAGGTCGGGCGCGAAGGCGAGCAGCGCGCGCGCGACCCGCAGGCGGTTCTGCTTGGCCAGCGGGCCCGCGAAGGGCGCCTCGCGCGCGCTCTGTTCCAGCTCAATAAGGACCACTAGTAGGCAAAATACGGCCTCAATTACATCGGAGTAGGTTTCATTTTCGTATGGTCGTGTACCTGGAGATCAGGCGCGAAGGCGAGTAGCGCGCGCGCGACTCGCAGACGGTTCTGCTTGGCCAGCGGGCCCGCGAAGGGCGCCTCGCGCGCGCTCTGCTCCAGCAGCCGTGCCGCCGCCGCCGCCTCGTGCGCCACCAGCACGCGCAGGATCGAGCGCCCGCCCGGGCCCTGCGCGTTCAACTCACATTCAAACAAACGGTACAGAAAACAAAAAGTCTATACAGGTGTCCCAATTATCACGTCACACCGGAGGCAAATGGGCCTAAGACGCATCGAAAAAGTCTAATTTTGTCCATAGAAAAGTTTCGTGACTAATTTAACATACAATTTTTAATACCTCTATTTAATATCACAAACTGTGATTCTCCGTAATCATCATCTTGCATAAGCGTCCATAGTTTAAAATAAATCCATCGTCACTAACATCTTCGGCCAGTAAGGTGTGCAAGACGTCGTGTCTCGCCGAGGGCTGCGCGTGGTCAGCCAGCGGGCGGCTGGCGGCGCGTCCGCCGTCTGACCACGCGCAGCAAGTTTTAGTACTTTTACATTTATCGTAAACAGTAAATATCTGTCATCTATATTTATAAAACCAAAAGGTCACTGATTGACTGACTCACTCACTCATCACGAAATCTCAGAAACTGCAAGTGCCAGGAGTCTCAAATTTTTCATGATTTTTCATGGGTTCCTTTTAGAACGTAGGTGCTCAGTAAGAACGGATTTTACGAAATTCCAACCCTAAGATGGTAAAACTGGATCCACCACGCGTACGAAGTCGCAGGCGGCTGCTAGTCCTAAATAAGAGTCACTCACATCCTCAGCCAGCAGCGTATGCAAAGCGTCGTGCCTCGCCGAGGGCTGGGCGTGGTCAGGCAGCGGGCGGCCGGCGGCGCCGCGGCCCGCCAGCGCGTCCGCCGCAGTAAAAGTATTTTAGTACGTTTACATATGGTATCGCAACCGGCAATCTGCGACATCCTATTTAAATATTGATAGTTTAAAATAAATCCATGGCTACTCACGTCCTTAGCCAGTAAAGTATGCAACGCGTCGTGTCTCGCTGAGGGCAGAGCGTGACCAGGCAGGAAAAGCGCAGCAAAAGTATTTTCAGTACCATGTGCGTGGTGGGGGCCGGGGGGGTAGATTTTGGGTTACCGATTCGAAGATGACAGATACAGATGATCAGTATGGTACTCACATTTTTAGCCAGTAATGTATGCAAATGCCGATAGTTTAAAATAAATCCATGGTCACTCACGTCCTCAGCCAGCAGCGTATGCAAGGCGTCGTGTCTGGCCGAGGGCTGGGCGTGGTCAGGCAGCGGGCGGCCGGCGGCGCCGCGGCCCGCCAGCGCGTCCGCCGCTGCTAACACGAGCGCGGCGCCCGCGCAGCCACAGCCGCCCGCCCCGCCGCGCCCCGCGCACCCCTCCTCGACGTACGGCGCCAGCTCGCGCATCGCGCCGCTGCTGCCGCCTGCAGAGTATAACCAGAGTAAATACAAATGAGTAGGTCATCTTCACAATCTTCTTTAATATGCCACGCAATTTTGTATAGCCATTCTTATAAGATACATCATACAAGAATGCGTGGTAAATTCAGTGAACTGCTCCTGAATCAAATGTACCTACTACTGCTTTTTCTATTTATTTATATTAACCGGCAGACAGTGGTGACTGAGTTTGTTGCGGCGCTTCTTCTCAGCACTTGCCAAATGTTGGTCTCGAAGCGCTGGTAGGGTAAAAAGATTATGAGACATGTAGAGGCTCCTTAAGAGCAAAATGACGATTTGTAAGAACTATTTATTAGTCTAAACAAATAAAGAAATTTTGACTTTGACACAGAAACGCACCGAGCCGGTTTGTATTTGTATGTGAACGCGCCAATACGTAGGTATGCGGCGCGCACGCACACACTGACAAAATTTAGCGTGGATTAGCGGGGTAGTGGTAGTAAATTGCTTTCACTTTTTAATAGATGTAAGTATTTTTGTGACAGATTATGACATTTAAATCTAAAATCTGTAGTTGTACAGAGTAGATGTGCTGTCGTAGTCTGTACGGTAACCCCAAATTAGTAGGCTGAGGTGTTATAGACAGGCATTAGTAAAATATAATCACCCTGTCACTCTTCTCTTGGATGACGTATGAGGCGACTCAAGGCCTCCGTTAAAACCATAAAGTTAATATTCCTTCGGAATAGAGCAACAAAGAATGAGCGAGCGAGATGTCACTATCTGCAACCCTGTGTGATAAAAAGAGATGTGTGATGCTGTCATCGTCACGTCAATAGAACCATTTTTGCAAAAGATTTGACAGGCAGTGACACTAAGAGGCACAAAGAAAATTTTAATTCATAGTTTTTTATAAAAATATCGTAAANCATGGTAGAGGCACAGGCGCGAAGGCGAGTAGCGCGCGCGCGACGCGCAGACGGTTCTGCTTGGCCAGCGGGCCCGCGAAGGGCGCCTCGCGCGCGCTCTGTTCCAGCTCAATAAGGACCACTAGTAGGCAAAATACGGCCTCAATTACATCGGAATAGGTTTCATTTTCGTATGGTAGTGTACCTGGAGATCAGGCGCGAAGGCGATTAGCGCGCGCGCGACGCGCAGACGGTTCTGCTTGGCCAGCGGGCCCGCGAAGGGCGCCTCGCGCGTGCTCTGTTCCAGCTCAATAAGGACCACTAGTAGGCAAAATACGGCCTCAATTACATCGCAATAGGTTTTATTTTCGTATGATTGTGTACCTGGAGATCGGGCGCGAAGGCGAGCAGCGCGCGCGCGACCCGCAGGCGGTTCTGCTTGGCCAGCGGGCCCGCGAAGGGCGCCTCGCGCGCGGTCTGTTCCAGCTTAATAAGGACCAATAGTAGGCAAAATACGGCCTCAATGAGGGCTATCGTTTTTATACTTAACAGTTGGCACCCCTGGCGATTGACAGGACCTTACTCTACAGTGGCGCCATCTTGATGAGTGCAAATGCGATAGTCCTCCTACCACTTTAGCGTTCACAAGTTGGTGCTACTGTCTTCGCGACTAGCAAGTGACAGGACCTTACTCTACAGTGGCGCCAACTGGTGAGCGCTAAAACGATAGCCCTCATTACATCGCAATAGGTTTCATTTTCGTATGGTCGTGTACCTGTAGGTAGGGCGCGAAGGCAAGCAGCGCGCGCGCGACCCGCAGGCGGTTCTGCTTGGCCAGCGGGCCCGCGAAGGGCGCCTCGCGCGCGCTCTGCTCCAGCTCAATAAGGACCACTAGTAGGCAAAATACGGCCTCAATTACATCGGAATAGGTTTCATTTTCGTATGGTCGTGCACCTGTAGGTCGGGCGCGAAGGCAAGCAGCGCGCGCGCGACCCGCAGGCGGTTCTGCTTGGCCAGCGGGCCCGCGAAGGGCGCCTCGCGCGCGCTCTGTTCCAGCTAAATAAGGACCACTAGTAGGCAATATACGGCCTCAATTACATCGGAATAGGTTTAATTTTCGTATGATTGTGTACCTGGAGATCGGGCGCGAAGGCGAGCAGTGCGCGCTCGACCCGCAGGCGGTTCTGCTTGGCCAGCGGGCCCGCGAAGGGCGCCTCGCGCGCGCTCTGTTCCAGCTCAATAAGGACCACTAGTAGGCAAAATACGGCCTCAATTACATCGGAATAGGTTTCATTTTCGTATAGTCGTGTACCTGGAGATCGGGCGCGAAGGCAAGCAGGGCGCGCGCGACTCGCAGGCGGTTCTGCTTGGCCAGCGGGCCCGCGAAGGGCGCCTCGCGCGCGCTCTGCTCGAGCAGCCGCGCCGCCGCCGCCGCCTCGTGCGCCACCAGCACGCGCAGGATCGAGCGCCCGCCCGGGCCCTGCGCGTTCAACTCACATTCAAACGGCACAGAAAGTCTACAGCATATCCCAAAATTATCACGTCACACTGGAGGTAAATGGGCCTAATTTTGTCCATAGAAAAGTTTCATGAATAATTTAACATATATTTTTATTTAATACCTCTATTTAATACTAGCGGCCGCCCGCGTCTTCGTACGCGTGGATCCCGTTTTACCCCCTTCGTCTATCTTACGTGGTTTAGATTTTTTCATACAAATGTTAACTCCCGGTCCCGTGGGAATTTCGGGAATCCCTTTTTAGTGCACCTCTACGGTACCTAAGCTACGTCCTTTCCAAATTTCAAGTGCCTACGTTAAGCCGTTTAGGCTGTGCGTTGATATGTCAGTCAGTCAGTTTCTCCTTTTATATATTTAGATCACAAACTGTGATTCTCCGTAATCATCATCCTGCATAAGTGTCCATAGTTTAAAATACAAAATCCATCGCCACTAACATTTTCGGCCAGTAAGGTGTGCAAGACATCGTGTCTCGCCGAGGGCTGCGCGTGGTCAGGCAGCGGGCGGCACCAGCGCGTCTGCCGTCTGACCACGCGCAGCAAGTTTTAGTACTTTTACATTTATCGTAAACAGTAAGTATCTGTCATCTATATTTATAAAAGCAAAAGGTCACTAATTGACTGACTCACTCACTCATCACGAAATCTCAGAAACTGCAAGTGCCAGGAGTTTCAAATTTCTCATGAGGGTTCCTTTTAGAACGTAGGTGCTCAGTAAGAACGGATTTTACGAAATTCCAACCCTAAGATGGTAAAATGTAACCTGCGACTTCGTATGCGTGGATCCACCACGCGTACGAAGTCGCAGGCGGCCGCTAGTCCTAAATAAGAGTCACTCACATCCTCAGCCAGCAGCGTATGCAACGCGTCGTGCCTCGCCGAGGGCTGGGCGTGGTCAGGCAGCGGGCGGCCGGCGGCGCCGCGGCCCGCCAGCGCGTCCGCCGCAGTAAAAGTATTTTAGTACGTTTACATATTATGGTATCGCAACCGGCAATCTACGAAATCCTATTTAAATGCCGATAGTTTAAAATATCCTTGGACATTTTACACTGCGCTTCTAGTCCCAAACTAAGCAAAGCTTGTACTATGGTAAAATAAATCCATGGTTACTCACGTCTTCAGCCAGTAAAGTATGCAACGCGTCGTGCCTCGCTGAGGGCTGGGCGTGGTCAGGCAGCGGGCGGCCGGCGGCGCCGCGGCCCGCCAGCGCGTCCGCCGTCTGACCACGCGCAGCAAGTTTTAGTACTTTTACATTTATCGTAAACAGTAAGTATCTGTCATCTATATTTATAAAAGCAAAAGGTCACTAATTGACTGACTCACTCACTCATCACGTAATCTCAGAAACTGCAAGTGCCAGGAGTTTCAAATTTCTCATGAGGGTTCCTTTTAGAACGTAGGTGCTCAGTAAGAACGGATTTTACGAAATTCCAACCCTAAGATGGTAAAATGTAACCTGCGACTTCGTATGCGTGGATCCACCACGCGTACGAAGTCGCAGGCGGCCGCTAGTCCTAAATAAGAGTCACTCACATCTTCAGCCAGCAGCGTATGCAAGGCGTCGTGTCTCGCCGAGGGCTGGGCGTGGTCAGGCAGCGGGCGGCCGGCGGCGCCGCGGCCCGCCAGCGCGTCGGCCGCCGCCAACACGAGCGCGGCGCCCGCGCAGCCACAACCGCCCGCCCCGCCGCGCCCCGCGCACCCCTCCTCGACGTACGGCGCCAGCTCGCGCATCGCGCCGCTGCTGCCGCCTGCAGAGTATAACCAGAGTAAATACAAATGAGTAGGTCATCTTCACAATCTTCTTTAATATGCCACGCAATTTTGTATAGCCATTCTTATAAGATACATCATACAAGAATGCGTGGTAAATTCAGTGAACTGCTCCTGAATCAAATGTACCTACTACTGCTTTTTCTATTTATTTATATTAACCGGCAGACAGTGGTGACTGAGTTTGTTGCGGCGCTTCTTCTCAGCACTTGCCAAATGTTGGTCTCGAAGCGCTGGTAGGGTAAAAAGATTATGAGACATGTAGAGGCTCCTTAAGAGCAAAATGACGATTTGTAAGAACTATTTATTAGTCTAAACAAATAAAGAAATTTTGACTTTGACTTTGACATTGTCATTCTCACTAAAATGTCTCTGGGGTGGTGGCGTAGTGAGGCGGGTCGTTACATTCCCTCTAATATGGTCGAGTGAAGCGATGGCTGGTTCACTCGTCATGTCTGTGAACAGGCGCTGCTTTCGGGGACTGGTCAATCCAAGTTATTCAAATTTATGTATGCGAGTCATTTCTACTAGTATCTTAATATGTAAGTCTAGATATTAGCACGTCACTACCTTGTTTAATATACCACGCAATCTTGTATACCCATTCTTATAAGATACACCATACAAGAATGCATGGTAAATTCAGTGAACTACTCCTGAATCGAATGTACCTACTACTACTATTTCTATTTATTTATATTAACCGGCAGACAGTGGTGACTGAGTTTGTTGCGGCGCTTCTTCTCAGCACTTGCCAAATGTTGGTCTCGAAGCGCTGGTAGGGTAAAAAGATTATGAGACATGTAGAGGCTCCTTAAGAGCAAAATGACGATTTGTAAGAACTATTTATTAGTCTAAACAAATAAAGAAATTTTGACTTTGACTTTGACACAGAAACGCACCGAGCCGGTTTGTATTTGTATGTGAACACGCCAATACGTAGGTATGCGGCGCGCACGCACACACTGACAAAATTTAGCGTGGATTAGCGGGGTAGTGGTAGTAAATTGCTTTCACTTTTTAATAGATGTAAGTATTTTAGTGACAGATGATGACATTTAAATCTAAAATCTGTATAGATGACCCACGCTGAACTGTCCCGCCAAACTCAATGACAGGGGGGCGCTACCATCGTTCAACTATATGGTTTCCAACATGGCAAAAATCTGAACCAGCGATCCGGTATTGACGGTGGCGCCCCACTGTCAATGTCATCGACAGGACAGTCCAGTATTTTGGAACTATAGTTGTACAGAGTAGATGTGCTGTCGTAGTCTGTACGGTAGCCCCAAATTAGTAGGCTGAGGTGTTATAGACAGGCATTAGTATTAACTAACACATAACACACACACACACACACACGCACGCACATACACACACACTTACACAAAAGATTAGAAAGAAAGATTGCTTCTAAAGTTAAAGTTTAAATTTTTGAAATAGTACTTCTTATCATTTATTTTGCCTATTTGTGTAAATCACATGTCATCATTCTATTTCTTTATTTATTTTATTTTTAGTTTGTTTCTAATATAAAATACTTACCTTAAATAGATTAACACAACCACGCAGTATCGATTAGCCGGTGGTGGACGCCTGGTGTGCTGTAGCACAGGGTATCCTAGTACGGACACCAGTCTCTACGAAATACTTATTTTTGTTCCTTGTTGTTATAATTACCCGTTACAAATTGTGACTTTATGTATTTTGTAAAGAGAGAAATAAATAAAGTTATTATTATTATTATTAGTAAAATATAATCACCCTCACTCTTCTCTTGGATGACGTATGAGGCGACTCAAGGCTTCCGTTAAAACTTGCTTGGGCAGGCATATCAAAAATTAGTGTAGGTAGATCATGCGTGTGACGTGTGCCTGCCTTGGGCACCCGCGTAAGTTTTAGTGTATGAGGGAGAAATATGCGAACACCAGTCCACCTATTTGTTTCTGATAAATTATAGAGGGTTGGATACTAAATTACTTGTGATGCAGTGGCGGATTTACAGATTTGCCGCCCGTAGACTTGGGGGGAGGGGGGTGTTGTTGGATCTTATTTGACTGGCCTGGCGAACATTGATATAACATATTGATATATTCGTATCCGAAATACGTACCTACTTTGTGTATGTAAAAAATAATATTAGTATGAACTAAATCTGCCGCCCCTTAAAATTTGCGGCCCTAGGCTTCAGCCAACAGCCTGCTGGTAAATCCGCCACTGAGTAATAATAATGAAATTTATCTAATCAATAAATGAAAGATACAATACATGTCACAAAATGACAAACCTAGTGCCGCGGCGATGGCTCCTACTCCCCGCCATAGTTTTTTCTCCCTCGTGAAAACGCTGGCTCGGTGCGGGTCGAGCGAAGTCAACGGCAGCGACGCGACCACTCTCTCGACCAGCATCGGCTCAAACTCAGCCAAACGCTCGATTAACGCCTAAACAGTTTACATTTTAAAAAAGAGGTATACAAATGGTAAAGCCTGGTCTGTGAGCACGTAGAATTTTGTCCAATGACCCCAAGCTACCCATCCTTATCGCTCGCGCTTAATTATATTGCTGTCGCGACTGTGCGACGGGCGCCCACAGTGAGTGTGCGAGCGCGACAGCAACATAATTACACGCGAGGGAGAAGGATTGGTAGCTTGGGGTCTTTGGACAAAATTCTACGTGCTCACAGACCAGACTATAGTATGCTCAATTTTTATTAAGGTAGATATTTCATAACATTTGGTACAGTGGATTGAAGCAAGTCCAAACTAAAAGTATTTACTGTTACCTATTTAGGTAAAATTTATAATACACTGTCATTGAGGTTTGATTTTATAAATAGGTACCTGAGTGGAATCAGGGGATGGTGGATTCTCTGATAATTCACCTCGTACCGCGGCGTCTCCAAGTGCTTCCACAAATGCATTTTCTCTTGAGCATTGCTCCCATAAGGTCGACCATAACTCTTCACTAAAAAGAATATAATCCTTTAATTGCTGATCCAAACAAAAAGTACTTTTCAACTTCTATAAAATAATACCTACTGTAAATTGTATTTCAAGCACAGTTTGATAGTCTGTTCAGCAACACTTCTATTCTTCATCAAGGATGGCCTTTCAGATAAGAATAATATGAATTCATTAGCGAGCGATTTCGCTTCTGGTCCTTGGGACGAGCAGAGCAAACGCAATGCTTGCAGGTGATGGCCTGAGAAGATGAACGCTTTCGCTCGGGCGAGAAGGTCCCTGGGCTTGACGCGGACTATGCCGCGTCTGCCCAATAAGGATAGCGCGCCTTCCACGACGCAGGCGCCGCCGAGGGCACTCACGCCGGCGGTACTCATGGCGCGAGACACTCTGCCGTCTGTCCAAAGGCCCTGAAATAATATTTGCATGTTAATTTAAGTCATTCTCTGTGTTATTTACTTCATTTCGTTACTTAGATATGACAAACACTAACCTTAAAGAATGCCGATGCGTAAACAGGCTCAATATGTGACAAATCTAATGGTTTGTCATAATCATCCCCCCACAATCTAAGATTCTCGTCAGTGTCGAAAATGGCCAAATTGCCGCCAAGCCACCCGAGCCAAAGCGGTGCAGTCTTCAATTCCACGCGTTGTAATGGTCGAAGTGATATGGAAGATCCAGTGATTGAGACCGTTAACCATTGTAATGTTTTGGAGCGCCCACATACTAGAACTCTGTCGTCGGTGTCGCTCCATTCCAAGACTGGTAATGTGTCGGGAGGGCCTCCGAGTCGCACTCCCGCAGCGCGGCCGCCGGCCACAATGATGACACGTGACAGCGTCGCCAAGGCCAAGATGCGGGCGTCTCGAGCCGTCATGGCCACTACTTCACCTCTTGCGCCTGAGAAAAGACAAGAGGTGCGTGCAGAACGAACACCTAGCGGCCTGGAGAATTTTATGAGCCACACCGATCCACCAGTGTCTAACGCCAGTCCCGATGTGCCTGCCCACGTGACGCGTAGTGTTCCCCATGTTTCACCTCCAAGTGTCACACGCCTTAGCAGTATACCTCGAATACTTTCATATTGGCATATGAGCCCTCTTGCATATCCAGCTAACAATCGAGTGCTATCTTTATTGTAGCATAAACAGGACACAGCTCCTTTATCTGAGTTAGAGTTGCAGACCCATCGTAAGGTTTGGTCAAAAAAAGATAGAAGGTGACCATGTGCTGTCCCAACAGTTAACTTCCCCGATGTTCCTACACTCAGTGCAGTTGCTGCTCCTGCAGAAGATCGTTCCTGGAATTTTAAGGAAGTGGTTTCCATTTTATTATAATTGTAAGCCAGCCAGAATGTTTATTTATTTCTTTTTTAGGTACACCAAGAAAGTCACACACAGTTAATTTTTAACATGGTTAACACCATGATGCGTATATGACATCTATAAATGCTAATTATTGCTTTAAGGGTGGTAATTATAGGATTGAGGTATCTGATGTTGGCTTAAATTACAGATAAATAAACCATAATTACAATTTGAAATCAAATAAAAAATAAAAATCTGGTAAAAAGATATTATAAACATAACAGCTGCTGTGGTCATTGTGGGTGGACCCATGTTTAATAATTATTAGATATGTTTTAAAACTAAATCATTGGGGGAGGTCTATTTTCAGCAGTGGATGCCCTACAGCTGAAATGATGATGATGGGTGTTTTAAAACTTATACCAGAAGAGAATCACACAAGTTTCAGTATTCTATTTGAATCATTCATGTTAAACCATATCATTACCACAACAACTCACCTGTGCTTGTGTTATTTGTTGTGACACTGCTTGCATGAAGTCTGCTTGGAGGGCTGAACAAGCTGACGGCTCTTCGGGTGTTTTAAAAGCATCAGCAATTTTGCCATCTTCTTTTTCTGCAGATAGAACTTCAGCAAGGGTGGGAGCCTCACTGGCTGGTAAAGCATATTCAACCTCATCTAACTGTAACAAATCACAGACATTTACAAGTTGTAGAAGTTATTGTCAGGTAAAATATTAATCCTTAAAATAATGTGCGTGACTGTTATACAATGTTATGACTATTATGTTACATGCTTAAAAACAACCTTAATAAGCTATCTGTGGCCTAACAGCCTTAATAAACACATTAAGCAAAAATCTTGTGAACTGACTAAATAAATTTCCTACACAGATAGTTATTGGAAAATGATCTAATAAATTGATGTAATGTAATTATTCTTAAAGTTACCACTTAAAAGTGTACATCATATGTAACATACTGAAGTTTTATTCTATTTAGTTAACCATTAGGGGCGGATCAGTCATAGTTTTTACTTGCTACATAAACTTGAGTTCTGTAAGTTACTATGATAATACTTACTTCTTCGATATCCAGATATTGAAGACTCTCAACTGATTCTAAATCGGAATCTAATAAAGATTGTACAGAGGGTGTTTTTAACAAATCCATAATGACACATCAAAGGAATAATGTAATTTATCAACAGTTTCCTGCCTATTTGTACTAATTGTTCATAAAAGTAGTAAAATATTTAAGGATATAATTTATTGAACTAACACTGAAAAGTAACATACAGTTATAATGCACAGTTAAACTTATTTTATTATTAAATAAAAACTCAATTTTGTCCGAATTCCGATGATCAGTCAGTTCCAGTCAGTTCATTATTATTTTGCCGATCGTTTTATTATGTCAAATATGTCAAACTTGTTAGTAATATCATTAACACTATCGTGTCAAATCGAACTGTGATCGTATCACAGTTCATATTGTATCACATATTGATATTAACAAAGATAATGTAAAAAGGTAAAGACAATAATGTATATACGCGGGCCACAGCTACCCATTTCCGTTTTTTTTCTCGCTCTCACCAAATGGTGATTCTTTGCGATAGAACGAGACGACATGACCGGAAATGTGGCCGATAGTACTAGTTGTAACATCATTTTGCGCGCAGTATAGTCGTTGACCTTGGCCTGTTAATCGATTAAAAAATAAAAATTGCTTGACACCACAGATATGGATAGATGCAGCATGTGTCAAAAATTGTATGAAGCCGAGCGTGCCACTTTTTAAACGTCATTAGTGTCATTTTAGCGAATTTTAGTGATTGCCGCAACGTAAAAGTAATCGTATCATCGTACTGCATTTGCAAAGTCATCGAATGATATCGTGTGACTCGGTTCGAAAATTAATTAATTCCGATAAAACTGACAATTTGTTAAATACAAAACCAAAAACATCTTTATTTACCTGTTTAAAATAAATTAATTCTTACAAATCGTCAAATCTCGTTATTTTTTTTACCCTACCAGCGTTTCAAGACATAAATTTGTCAAGTGCATGAATACATGCATCAGTGTGTATCTTATTTTTATGGGTAAGTACCAGTGTTGCCAGAAGGTTACTTTTGTAACCTTTTTGGTTACTTTTGAACTGCTGTGGTTACTTTTAGGTTACACTAATGAAAAGGTTACTTTTAGGTGATTTTTCAGAAATTGTAGAATTAACTTTACAGGTTATTCAGTAAAAAATATTAATAGTGACAATTTAAAAATTATGTCATAAAGAGCATTTAAACTTGAATTTGATTTATTATTTGTTAAGAAAAATGAGTTTTAGCGAATGTTTTTCGATAATAAAACGCATATCCATGAAACGTTTTTATACGACTGGTCACTTTTCGTATTTAGTAGTGTCCGACCGAATATGGATTTTCAGCCGAAAACGGAAACGAAAACGAAGCTTCGGCTGCAGTCTCATTTTCGGCCGAAAACGAAAACGAAAACGAAAATGACCTTCAACTCTCAAATTTCAATCTGAAATTATGTAAAAACTTTGAAAACCGTTTTGACCAAATACATAATGACGTTTGACAGTTGATTTTTATAAGGATTGATTAAAGAACACCGGCATTAAAACACTAAAAATTTAATTATGAATTTTAGTAGAATATTATTTCCGGTGTAGGTACATTGAAATATTGGGAAGTGAAGAAGAAATAAAGGGTGTCCAGTGGGAATTTTTCAACTTCAAAAATGAATACAAATAAATCTAATGATTTTTTATTATTTATTACTAATGAAAACTGGAGTTTAACAATGCGGATTTAATTTTTTATAGGCAATGTCGTTTAAATGACGCCCGTTTTACTATAGGCACTCTCACAGCCGGACCCTTACATTCGCAACTATGCGAGAGCAAATCGCGCTTATCATTTTCCTGCAACTTCACGGCGGATATTTTCTTACAGAACCTGAATTATTAAGGATTGTTTGCTGTAAACTTTTGACTTGAAATATCCCCAAAAGAAATAGTCGCATGGGTGAGATCTGGTGACCGAGGTGGCTTACGGTATATCCCTGTACTTGCTGATCATTTATTTGAAAAAAAAAAAAAAGTCTTCAGTGTCTCCATCGAGGTCCTCTCCGTGTGTGGTGAGACACCTTCTTGCTGTAATAAAGTTCCGTAGCTGTCCGGGATGCAGTTGCAGTTGTGGTATCAGACATTCATCGATCATTCGACAATACATTTCAAATACTTATTGCTCAACTGCGAACGCTCTGTAGGCTCCCGACCAGTGAATCATGGCGTATTTCAAATCCGCATTAGACTCTATTTTGAAACAATTAAACTTAATGAAAACTCTTTGGTTTTATTTGTATTCAATTTTGAACTTGGAAAATTCTCGCTGGACACCCTTTACAACGTAACCTCACTTCACAACTTCAAAAAAGTGTGACAAGTCTGTTCAAGTCTGATTGGAACCATGAGAGCACCAGATTCACTCCCGAAAATATCGGAACGATAAACATCACCATATTATTCACGTATTTCTGATATTCGGTTTGGCCGAAGCTTCGGCTGGTTTTTGGCCGAAAACGAAAATATGGCCGAATGTCCATTTTTTGGCCGAAAATGGCCGAAAACGAAAACGAATATTCGGTCGGTCACTAGTATTTAGATGATCAATTGTATTCATTTTCCATCCTTGAACAACCTTACACAATCATCGCTCCGCACCCCCCCCCCCCGTATAAAGGTTACTTTTTATTCAAAAAGGTTACTCTTTCTTATATTTCTGGTAATTTCTGACTAGACCCGACTGGCAACACTGGTAAGTACGGTTCCTTGGGATCGGTATGAGTGCACCACATACAGGGACCATGGTTTTAACTCTTAAGAGTACATCGCAGGATAAGTATTAAAAACAATGCTACTTTATACTTCTTCTACTGCTACTTTATTCTAATTAATTATTTGTTACTTGTGCTGTTAATTACAATTCTCAATCCGTAAATAATTTCTTCTTTCTACCGTGTTCGTACTACTGTCCTCGTAAAATCATCGTAACCGATTGTTGTAATCGGATTACATGAACATCACTCGACCATGTATGTCCATTTGGACATATCGGAATGGCACGCTTTGACGAGCAACTTGCTGTATCTACTCTAATCCATATTATCTGTGCTTGACACACATGTCATTAATGACATTTGGTAAATGACGGACAGATCCTTGCTTGGCTTCTGTTCTGCGATTTCCTTTACGTGCTCTGTGCTATTGTTTACAAGGCTTTTGGGATTTGTGATATGATTATCTGGAAGAATCGTTTCCAATAATAATGTTGAATATTCTTTAGCCTTCCCTCTGACCAAATTTTTGATTTGTAACACCCTAAAATGGACAAACTCACTGTAATATCTGGAACCCTATTTATGGCAGCCGATGTTTTTGCTATTGTAAGCCTAGCTATGCCCGACTGGATAATCACCGATGTTGGAGGTATTTATACTAGCCGAGATTGTGATATTTTTGCTCTTTGTAACTTTCCCATCTTAATGACTAATGATTGTTTGTTTTTTTAGGTGATACCCGTCTTGGTTTAATGTGGTCATGCATAACACTGTACAACAGACCACAAGTTTGTTTCACTCCAGATCTACAACCAGAGTGGTTACTTGCTTTGATCTGTATATTTATTGGCTGTATATGTATAACTACAACTGTTATATTGCTGGCTTCAAGTCATTTTGATCGTAATGTGATTCCTTATGCAAGATGGGTGGGATTTGCAGCAAGTATGAAATCATTTTGTAACCAAGGTANTTTGTAACATAGGTAATTCCTTTATTTCAATAATTTTACATGAATCTAATTGATTGGTACATTCTTTTCAGTGGTGGTGTTTTGTTTGGCAGCTGTAATATTTCCAATGGGCTTTCATGTTGATGAAATTGGTGGCCAACCATACCAGCTTCCTAACAGTCATCAAGTTGGGATATCATATATATTATTTGTTCTTTCTTTGTGGATAACTGTGATATCAGAGTTATTTGCTGGTAAAGTTTGTTTACCACATTTTTAAGCTAAGTTGTCATTAAAATGTGTTTATTGTGATATAGGATGTTCTAAAAATAATGGATAACCTTGTACCATCAATAAGCCTTAGTATGGTCTCTCAATTATAAAATTTTGACCTGTTAAAACTATAAGGTTTTCAAGATTTTAAAATTTTTAGAAAATTGCCACCTGCTATTGCAATTTAAGACAGTGAATTACATTTTTATTTTTTTCTACTTCTTTTTATAATACTTTACCTAGTTTGTTGAATTGCATGAGAAAAACTAATTTCAGGTGGCAATTTTATAAAAAATCTTGAAAACTGATATTTCTACTAAGGTCAAAATTTTATATTAGAGATCATGAGGCCTATGAATGGTTGCATGGTTATCCATTGTATTTGGGACATCTTGTATATTACGTAATGGGTAGTTAATGACTGCTAGATATGGTAATAGAAGAAAACAAATAATACAAACAGTCTTGGCTTTACTATCAAATGCTAATAAAGCCTATAATTTTAGTACTGGTCCAGCAGTGAGCAAACCTTGTTCAAATAAATTACCTACTGTGACCTAATAAGACTTTAAAGGATCTGAAAATGATAAGTACCTATATTATGTTTAATTAATTTAATGCAAAAGTAACATTTAGAAAAAAATTACAATTACTTTAAATTACATTGCGTCTTGAATCTCGGTGTTTGGTCTGTTATTAATATGAGTGTGACAAAGGACTGAATGGTGTTAACTTAAGGTCAGCAATGCCATAATGTCATGTGATAGCCTATAAGTGTACCTATACATTTTAAATGGATCATTTAATTTTAAGCAAAATCCCCCTTTACTTTGATTTAATGTTAAAATTATATTGTTTATTAAGTATTATTAAAAATATATTATTTGAAATAACTGAAAAAGATGTAATTTTCATTATGTTAAGAAAAAAATAATACTTATCCATGTTACAAATAATCTATCATTTACCTACCTAATTTCAGTTAATTTATCTTTCAATGAAATGGGTGGTACAACAACTGCACCACCCTTCACACTGGGCGGCGAGTAGCATTGTCAGACTCAGTCACTCCACTTTTTCTAAAAATTGGGACAAGAAAGCGTGATTCGGATAAAAAAAAAACGAGAAGTTGGAAATATGTTTGCACACCGTGACTTTTTTGATAGCTTTCGTTGTTTTTTCTTTACAACATACAGGATTTTAGTTTACATTCGTGTTTTGGATGTAAATAGGTACCTACTTCTGAATTAGGTAGGCCTAGTATTAATCTAATAATAATAAAAAATTAGGCATGTAACTTGACTATTTGCGTGTGCGTCAGAATGGACAGTCACTACCCATATTTTACATCGAAATAAATATTGAAAGTTGCTTCCCAGTTGCTACCCTCGATTTAAAGAAAAATAATCTTTCTTTAGGTGACGCGCCATCCTAGCATCAGAATGGCTGGTCACCTATCCAGCGAGAACAAACTGCGCTAGTTAAAAGTTTGTTTTTAACCAACAGTTGCTACTAACTGCTACCTTCATATACCACGTCTAGGAGCTCAATAGCTTTTAAGGTTAAAAAGTAATTATGTATTTACTATTTCGATATATCAACGCCAACAGAATTAAATGAGCAAATCCGCAATCAAACATTTTAGTAGTATTCCTTAAGCAGGCGCCAATTTGCTCATATAATTCTGTAGGGGTTGAGATAATGAAATAGTAAATACATAATAACTTTTTAGCCTTAAAAGCTATGAGCTCCAAGACGTGGCATATGAAGGTAGCAGTTAGTGGCAACTGTTGGTTAAAATAAACTCTTTTAACTAGCGCAGTTTGTTCTCGCTGGATAGGTGACCAGCCGGTAGCGCATTTTCTTACATAACTTTTCAATTCCTATCATTGGAGGTCCGAAAATATTTCTCATACAATTTGATACCATAATGATTATTCTTCATAAAAAATTTAAAACCTACATATTTAAAAACATAATCATTGATATTCATAATATCACTAATCATACACTTAGTTTTTACTAATATTTGTTTTCATATAATATTTTTCTATACTAATGATCGAAACTCATAATCATTCGAATAAATAAACTATAATATTAATAAATGTGATGTATCCTAATATTTGTTTTCATAAATTTATGACTCATAAGTGTATTTATCCATATTATTGAAAACCATGATGTCTATATTCTCGTATTAAATCGTATTTTAACGAAATGGTCCAAAACAGGCAATGTTTTGTGCCACAAAACTAACGTGACAGAAACGAATCGCTGCAAAACCGACTCCACCTCTAATCCATATCTGTGGACCATGAAGCTACAGATAAAAATGGAGGGCAAAGTTGGGAACAAAACTTGAGTCAAATACCTACTTATATCTATCTCGCTCTCTGTGGCCCTACCTCTCTTTTTAGTGTGAACTGTAGTATTGCTATCTTCTTATTTAAATCTCCTTGTAAATTCTTCGAAATAGCCAATTCACTAACCAAATAAGAAGTTAAATAAATAAATAATTAATATTTGAAACTTAGATTACCTAGTTAAATAAAAAATCACAAAATTGTCGGCCATTTAGGCTTAATGTGTTGGCGAATCAGGGAATTACAATCCCAATTTCTGAGGTATCGGTAATGTGGCAACATCGGCCGAATCCGGCCCATCATGGCGGTTGTTTACTATGCAGTTGATTTCGTTTGAGATTTTTCAAGGGACCTTATCATTGTTTTGTCTGAAGAAATGGTGCAAAATTGTATAGTGCGTGGTTGCGGTAGTTCGTGTTGTCCTGGAAGTGATATAAAATTCCACGCGTAAGTGTTTATTTCGTGATTTCTGACAGTGGATCATTGTTAACATATTTCTTTGTATTTTNTTTTTAAAGATACGAGTAAGTATGTCTGTTATAAAGTAAATTATTCTGAACAACAACATTATGAGTTGAAGTACCTATGTTCTTAGTAACAACATTATTAATTAAAACAATATGATCAATGAAATGTTATGAAGAAAAAAAGATCTGAAAATAAAAATTATGTATTTTAAATGGTTCTTGGTAGCAACAGTATTGATAAAAAAAATATGATTACCTACTTACTGTTATGAGCTCCGATGGTAGTAATAAAAATGTATGAATAAAAAAAGTATGAAAAATAAAATTATGAAGAGAGATTATCATGAACACAAATTGGTAGTAAGACAAAGAATAGGATTTAGAATTTTATGTGAGCCAATATACAACCTGACCAGCCATTCTGATGCTAGGATGGCGCGTCACCTAAGAAAGTAGATTATTTTCTTTAAATCGAGGGAAACACCTATTTAACGATTAGTACCAACTGGGAAGCAACTTTCAATATTTGTTTCGATGTAAAATATGGGTAGTGACCGTCCATTCTGACGCACACCTATTTGCGCTAGTGACCAAAAAAGTGCCTAAGCACAGAAAAAAACAATTATAACTCGAAAACTATCAAAAATCGCGGAACATACGTTAGCGTTAGTTAGCCCTAGTGTGATGCTCTATAAACTCTGGGCTTCGGCTTGACACTACTTTTTGGGACAGCCTGTATAATTTAACTTTAAGAACTAACAAAAAAACTGAGGTAATGTCTCCTTTCTATCGGGTCTGGGTCACAGATGACCGTTCTTCTTTCATGTATATTAGTTCCATTTTTCGCCACGAGATGATCTATGATATTTTTAAATAATGTTAGTTATGTGTCCCTTTTTAGAATTTAATGTTGATAAAGAAATAAGAACAACATCTTTAAAAAATGATTTATATTAACACTAATTATTACAATTTGTGTATAATAATAATTACATGCAACTAAAATAGTACTAAAATGAACATTTACAACTGGTATATATTTACATCTTCTGAAGAAATAAGAGAGTTCATATAACACATAAAAATTGTCTTTTAGTCCTTTGTTAGCACTGTAACTTCATTAATATTGTTCATATTTAGACACTGAAACTTGCGCGACCGTGTTTCTTGCGAAGTCGATTTCTTGATAATTGATGCAATCTTCTGCTGTAGTAACTCAATGTTGTGTTGATAGTTTGCCGCTTGATCCTGTTTAAGCTGATGAAATAATGCTGCGAATGACACCAATCAGGACAATAATGCTGCAAAAGTGGTGAACCCTGCGGCGCGTGGTCATTACATCACCACGCAACAACACGACATAATGATACGACTATTACGATCGCTTTTATCAAGCACAAAATGTTATATACTGCCTAAAGTTGCATGAGTGGCCTTGCAATCTATTTGAGTTTGGTCTTCGGCAGTATATGTAATGGGGAATTTGTTTAAAAATTCGAAGGCCTTAGGAGTTGACTCAAACGCCAGCTCACGAACGATGAAGTCCACGGGAACTGTCTGCCTGTAGCTGTACATATAAGAAAATATTAAATAAACAGACCAGCAAAGCTGGCATACCTGAAATCAAAAGTTAATGTAGCATATTCATAAATAGAAACGTCAACATTAGTAACCAAACCACTAATATCAAGTTTGTAGATGAGCAGTTGGATATTTACAACACCTAATGAAAAACGCAACAGCTCAGCCTAAACCATCTGAGTTTTATTACTTGATGGCAATTTTTATCATTTTGCGAAAATAATATTTTCTATAAAAGATAATAATTAGAACAGTGTAGCATTAACTTCATTTTATGTTGTAGGAGGAAAACTATTACTTTATATCGAAAAATGCACACACAAATGTGATTTTGATGTGCTGCAGTTGAGAATAGTCTGTTAATAACCTTGTACTAGAGTTTACGAAACAAAAAACTTTAACAATATCATGAATTTTTACCACACTTACCAATCTTTCTTTTTAATGTAATGATCATGAAAAATACAAATTAATTGGCTGATTTTCTTAATCAATCCCAGGTGGTTCATAATTATGTACTAAATTAAATAACAACTACTTTCGCAGTGCATATTATGTCAAAAGGGGATTTAATAAATCTTAAACAACCAGGCATTGAACCTGTGATTGAACCCAGATTCCAAAAAATGTTCAGTTCACTTAATTTTATACTCAAAATGAAAGTTTCACTGTTTCAATATTACTGAAAATATTGAATGTCATTACTTGTCTAATGCAAACTTTAGACTTATGATGTGATTAATAATACTTTGAAATACACCTAAGTTTCACTTTTTGATGGCATAAGTTCTTCTGTAAATGAATCATGTAATTCACGACTAATAGATATCTGAATTTCATGTGTAGTTCCATTTGTGAATGTAACAAATAATTAATTAAATCCCCAAGTTAATGTTTTCTTTAGAACTTGAGTTATTAAACTTGTATTATATTAAGTAAATACCATATTAATGAGTTTTTATATGCACTGTTAGGTGTTTATTAAATATCTGTCAATTACTTATCATAGGTGTCAGACATTTAGAAGTCTACCTAACAATGCATAATGGCTCATTAGTAAAAGTACTAAAGAAAGGACATACGACTTAATGATGTATTTGAGGTACAGTTTCCGTTCTCTCTCCACAAACCAGTCCATTAGGTAGCCTGCCATCAGGGGAGCTGTTTTATACAAAATGAAAAATTTGTGCAGATTTCCTGTCGCCCAAGCACATCTCGTCTGCAGTGCGTGATTTATACATTCATTTTCTCTTTCTTCCTTGGAGAGACTTTGGAATATTGTAGTTATATCTGAAAAAAAGAAAGAAAAAATAGATAGAACATTAATGATAAAACTTCTTTACATTTGAAAATTGAAAAAAGACATTGATCACGAAATAGCATAATAAATAAAATGTAAGTGAAACCCAACCTAAAGTGTTTTTGGTGAAAATATAATACAATATCCGATATGCTGTAAATTCTGCTGTGTTAGTTCTGCAGTCAGGTAGCTCATGATACAGCATTTTCAGTTGCGTTTGGCACTGATTGAATTCTTCATGATCACCTCTTTCTAAAGCTATTCTGGCATGAGTCTCATATACTTCTACTGTAAAGTTATCCCGTACTCCTTGCACCTGAAACCATAGAAAAAAATTAGGAAATGAGCAATAAAAATACAAGCACCAAATAATTTATAAAGAGCTAAATTAATATAAAACGATTAGACTATTGAGTTTTTACAGAAAGCATCAGTACCAACTATGCAAATAAACTTACTGTCAAATCCTGTCTTATAGACTTTAATTGATCACAAGCATATCTGTAGTCTTGTCTTTCAATCCATCTTTCCTTGACATTTTTCAGGGAGCTTCTTAAGACAGACACAGGTCGCACATCACATGCTTCTGGAGCTTTAGTAAGTCTCAAGAATGATTTTTCAATGTCTAAGCATGTCCCCACAATATGCATGTCATTCAAATCATAATCTCCTTCAGTATCTTCAACAATAGGCCTTCTTGTACATGGTTCTCCCTTCTTACCTGGTTGAATTGAACTTGCTATGGAGGGTACATGACCTGAGTTTCCAAATCTTTCTGCTCTTTTTTGTAGCTTTTCTGCATTTCCTGGAACATCTTCAAGAACAAATTCAGTATAATTAGACTTCTTTTTGGAATTCTTGTATTTATCTGTCTTTTTCTGATCTAAAGATAACCTATCTTTGACCTTCTGACGACCTTTACTTTTGAAAGTCTTTTTCTCTTCAATTTCATCACCAGAAGCCGAGGAGGCACTGTAAACAAAAAAAAAATTTGTACAGCTTTGCAAACATTGAGAAAATGTTCATGACGTTATACAAATAATAATATTTTGAGTATTATAGCAAGATTTCTTGATAACAACCTTTTTAGTTAAAAGGTAAAATATGTAAAGTAGAAATTATAGCTTCAAACTTACCTAGTTCTCTTTCTAGGTGGACTCCTGGATTTAGATCTACTCCTAGTACCCCTAGAGTGCTGCCTACGTCTCCTTTGTGGAGATGTTTTGTGAAAACCATGGCTAGACCTACTTTTAGATGATTCTTGCTCATGTTTTTGATACAATGACAATGTCCCACGCACAGGTAAGGGTTTCACAGATAAGTTATTACGTTCACTGTGAACACTAGGTATTGGTTCCTCATCCCAATTTCTAGTCCATATTTCATCTTTGTTTGCTGCTGCTGTAATTCTTCCCTTTAAACATATATCTATCTGGTCACGATCAAAGGCTGTTTTACATTTCTCATAACATCTTTTGATGTATCTTTCCAAACTCTCTGGCCATGTTCCAGATGAAGTCTGACACATTGATGATGAGTTTAAAAGGTGTGAGGAATCATTGTTTAGAAAAACATCTTTAGCTTCCTTCTCCTGAATGCTTTCGCTTTTAGGCTCCTCTGGTGGTTCTGGGATATCTTCAGTAGCCAATGGAGGTGGTAATGGAACGTCAATTGGTGGTGGTGGGGGTGGCTTAGGAATTTCAGGAGGTGGGCAAGGGGGCAGGGGAGGAGGATGACTGGGTAAAGGAGGCAAAGCATTTGGAGAAGTGTTCACATCATTATCATCGTCATCATCATCGTTAAACGCTTTATTCCCTTTTTTGCGTTTATTTTTTGATCCATTGTTACCCAAAAGAGGATTTTCATTTGGTGGGATTGGTGCAGTTTTTCTATTACCGTTGAGATTAAATCTAATGGGAGATTGGTTAAAAAAGGGTCGATTTGGGTCAAGTGGCGACATTCCTAACAATGGAGCAGGAGGGGGCTTGGAAAATTGTGGCGGCCCAAAATTGTTTTTAGGTTTGTTCATTTGTAATAAATGTTGACTATTATTGTTAGAATACCCTCCATTATTGCCCATTTGGTTAAAATAGGGATTAAAGTACGGTGGGTACATTCCACCGTATCCCATTCCATTGTACTGGTGATGATACATGCCATACATCCAGGGGTTATGATTGGGCGGCATACCGTTCATAGTCTGTATAGGAGGTTCTTTTGAATTATTTTCTGCCATTTTATTAGCAACAGTTCACTTCACACGTATCAAGTTGATGGTTCGATCACTGCGTTTGACGCAAAAATTATTTTATGATCAAAATGGCGTCATTACAACTCAGTGCCCAGAATCCAATTTAAAAATAATAAAACTTAGAAAAATCAATACCTTTCTCTATCTGATGCTAATAAAAACTTTCCATTATCTTTTCCTCTATCGAAAACGGCTGAAATTCACAGTGAGTATGAGTAAATTATTTAGTGCACACGATGACGACAAAGGAAACAAGTACGGACATTTTATTCTCCTTTCTATAGTCTATGATTCAATGTCAAAAAAAATCAAACCAAAGAGCAAAGAGTCCAAAGACGTGATAAAATAATAGAGAATGGTCAAAATCAAATCCCAGTGTTCGTGTTTGCCACAATTTTCATTGAACGAGTTTTATCCTCCCGTAAACAAGAATGAACGAAGTGATTACTTGCTCAGTGACAAGAATCGCACAGGGTCCTCCTGTGATCCTCCATCCATCCTCGTTGGGCACTGGGCACGAACTTAGTATTTGTAATATCTATGGTACGCAATGCATCGTATGACAATCGTATCGTTTTGGCATACTTTTTACATAATCTGTGCAGAGGTCTTCTTGGCGGTTGGCGGGAAAGTCAAGCGACATGTTTATCAAGTTCTAAAATATTTTATTAGTGTTTGCGAACGAGCATGTAAGCAAATGAAAATAAAAATAGTGTGTAGCATACATTTCAAATAATCATTTCAAGAAATTTGCGTGGCGGTCTCAGCAAATTCTCATATTTACTGTAACTCAAAGTAAAGGTATGCGGGAGAATCTGTCCCATGAGAGTATGGTCTTCACAATAAAAGTCCTTCTAAGTATGCGGCACTATTAACAAAAAATAAAAAGTATTGTTGTGAAGAGACAAGAAGCAGAATACAACCCATCAGCAAGCATCAACAGTGGAGCGCCAAGAAAGCAGTTTCAAGATAAAAGCTACATGAAAGGTTTTCTATAAACATTATTAATTTGTTTTAATTGAAGTAATTGCTAGAAAGAGTGAACAATTACATAATGACCATGTTGGTAGCGGTCTGCAGCCAGCACTTTATGAGGTCGTCGGTCCATGTGCCCAGCCCATTGCTATTTCAGCTTGCTAAGAAAGAAGCAGCAGAAGCTTCATGCTTCATTGGGGGAGGCTATGTTCAGCTGTGGACGTCCTATGGTTGTTAATAAAATGACATTCAAATTTAAAAAAAATGCATATTAGGTAAATGTTTATATTATTATTACACATCTATTTTTTATCATTATCATATTTTTTACTGAAATAGTTCTGGTAGGTAAGTGCCATCATAATCATTACATTTATACTTTGTGGTATGCTACTGGTTCCCGAAACCCGCGTGAACTCAAGGATATCTATCGATTAATTCAGAATTTTGAAAAAAGGGCGAGTTTCCATGTTTTGAATGCTATACAAAAGGAAAATGGAACCTGTAACATGTAGTTTGTATTAAAGATACGGGAAGCATTTATTTTAAACTTTGTAACGCTCCGGCAGCAATTCTGGCAGTAGGTACCTAAGTGTTGCTTTAGCGCCAATGCAGCTAAAATGTATTAAAGTAAGTTTTAAAGAAATAATAAGTACCAAAATATCATGTTCATAACGATAATTTAATAAATATACAAATTGAATAATGTATGATCGAAGTCCATGTACAATGCCTTTGTCGTCAATGATATTGTAAACATTGAAATCTCATTTTGAGCTTGTATAAAATATGTTTAATATAACATAAACTACGGTTAATCTTTGTCCGGACCGCATCAGCAAGCTTTTTCATATTTTATTCTAGTAAATTGTAGTACTCGTATGTTTATTAAATACTTATATACATCTCTCGAATAAAATTAATTATTAGGAAAATTTTATCAAGTTAATAAGTATCGGTTTCTACTTAAACATTTCGATGTATTGTAGACTAAAATATTTTTTCAAATAAGTAAAAAGCTTTGGGTTTCCAATGCGGTCGGAATAAAGTATCTAAAATGCTAAATATCCGTTTTAATAAGGCATCTGGCGGCGATATATTGGGTGCCAAGTGCAATATTTTCCGGATACTCATCAGTAGTTTACAAAGTGTTTTTAATGACGTTATTCGACTACGCAGAGGCGGGCGGTGGAGCGCTGACTGTATTGCTGGTGGCGGTAGAAGCGGTGTCATCCGGCTCGTCGATTTGCAGCCATGGCATACGACGCTGCAGCTCTTGTCTGAAGATAAATGATTTTTATTAGTGGAAAATACGTACAACGCCGTCGGAATAATTTGGTAAATACTGTGTACTTGCAACAAAACCATACCCCTCCTTCTGGCGCAGTCGGAAAAAAGTTTAAATAAGTAACTAGTTGCTGGGTTAAGGGTTACGAAGTCTGTCAAACTCTACACAAAAACAGCGGTTAGTTATAGTTACGGTTAAAGTAAGATGGTTCAACTCAGCCTTAGTTTTTTAGCACATCAGTGCTATAATTATAATACTAGTTGAGAGCAATAGCTATAAAAATATTCTATGTAGGTACTCGTACAAAGATGTACTTATCTACATAGTTAAATGTTATCTTTTTTTTAGAAGTAAGTAATTGGTAATATTTAATACTTTATAGTACTTTACAGTGTAAAGTATGCTTACCTGTATTTTGGATGACTAATAGCATAAACCCACGGGTCTATACAAGCAACAGCCTTGCAAGCCACAGCAGGAATCATTGTAACCTGCAGAAAAACAAAGAGTTTTAGAAAAACGTTAGGATTTTAATGATTATAAATTTGTTTAAATAATTATAAAGAATAAGACGACAGTCTTACAGACAAATTGTAGAAAAACTTAAAACATACCCCGGGAGTAAGTAATTGTTGGTTTCCAAAAGCTCCAATGAGTGCCATCACACCGTATGGAGTCCAGGAGGCGACGAAAAGGAAGCACACTGTGAGTGCAGCCTTTGCGATTCTGATCTCAGCCGACTGAGCGTTAGCGTTTTGGTTCGACCTGAGAGACTCGACGTTCATCTTTTTAGCTTGCTCCCTGAAATTAACAACAACAAAATGTAAATAATGCACCATAACTTTAACTTTTTGGTCAATAAAGTGTTTTATGTGTGAGGCACATAGGTACCATAATTTTATTAACTACTTACCTTAAAGCAGCTTCATGAGCGAACACTTGTTTGACGATGCCACTATAGAAATAGATGATGAGGGACATTGGTAGCACGTAACTGCATGCGAAGATGCAAGCGACGAATAATTTCGTGTCAAACGTGTTAGTGAGGTAGTCGAAAGTGCAGGACGTCAAGTAACCCTCTGTAAAAAACATAAATTAATAAAAACACTCTGAAAGAAATTAAGCTTGGCTCTACTAGTTAAATTAAATGGTTTACCCGGTACGAATCTGCCCCAAATTTTGAAAAGGGGCAGTAGAGCCCACGGAGTCGCATAAATCCAGACCACAGCGATCATTAGCAGTGCTTTCCCTTTAGAAAGCCTTCCGTCTAAAGGTCGTGTGATAGTAGAATGCCTATTAAAAGACAAAAAAAAATATAATTATGATTACCTACTTATTAGGTAATTTCAAAATGTACTCGTAATTGCTTGCATTTGCAAGTACTTAGAATAGTAGAGTCATTAACTAACCTGTCGTAGGCGATGCAAGCATTTGTCATGCCTGCACCGATGCCGCTGTAGGCCCCCATCAGAGCGAATATCTGACAGCCCAGCGCTCCCGTTGCAAAACCACGCATCGCACTATTGTAAATAAAAATCGGTGCCTTTGCCATCATTATGAAATCCAGAATTGCTAATTGTAAAATCAGAAGATTGCTTGATGTCCTCAAACTTTTTGTCCTGTAAGTAAACAAAAGTAGATAGGTATTTATTCTCAAAAGTTCTAGTAAATTAATTATAGTACAGCTTAAAGCTGGTAATCTATGCGTTTCCGTAACACGCACTTTTCAGCAATGCGCCATGAGTATTTACAGGTTTCACGTGTCCTAGGCTATGGAATAAAACGTCTAGCTAAATGATTAGACACAAAATACTCACGTTGAAAATATGAAAATGACAAGTCCATTTCCTAACAACGCAGCGGCTGTGAAAAATATGTAGAGTAGAGCCAAGGCGGTGTGCGCGCTGGCCGGCGGCGCGGGGAACGCGAACCAGTGTTCGGGCACCATCGCCAGGTCCTCGCCCGTCAGCCCCGCGCCCAGCATCTCCACGCCAGTTTGAGCTCCCGATCTGAGAAAACATCTTAGTTTTTAACACTAAGGTTTCAAGATTTTTTGTCTCATTTTCTTAGCTTTGGACCTCACTTGATTAATTAAGTAATTTACATTTGTTTATACACATACTGTACTAAGTAATTACGTATACAATTAATTAGTCATAATTCTTTATTTTCGTTTTCGTGTACTAAAATTGTTACTAAACTTAAAAACTTGTTACCAAGATTCGGTTATAATTGCAACGGACGTTTATGACAACTATAGTTAGTTTAAACAATGTTTTAAAATAAAAATATTACCTGAGTGGTGCAAAATGGGCGCCATTGTAATACTCGTCCGTCCGGTTTTCCATGATGATGGATTGAGTTTGTTTGTTGTGAGCAGCCCTCGGTAGTGCGCTTCTGCCCACCCGACTGACTAACTGCTGATCCTATCATGCCATCGCCGGGTTTTATATCATTTGGTAACGAGATTCCGCGGATTATCCACTCGGACACCTTTGATAGGATTAAAGAAGGTACTGCTCACAGATTTGTGATAAAATCACTGCTTTATTTTATAAAACCGCTGGATGTGCGTTGTTACGTGTTGTGGGTGACGTTCAGTGGAAACCATACAAATTGACATGTGATTAATTAATGTACGTATTAATAAATCCCTTTTTAACTTTTTTCTATTTGTACTTTATTAGCAACAACACTCTTTTTAACAACTATTATAAAATTAAATGCAGCGATAGCTACTTTAGTTACTTACTTATTGATATATTATTTTGTAAATAAAAATCTCAAATTGGCATTGAATCAACAAATTTAATAGACATCACAACAACCACTTGGATTTGAGTACACAATTAATAATATATCTACGTTTACAAGAATGATGTATAATTACAGTTAAAATACATTTTTATGTCTGTATAAAAGTGTAATAAATTCCTACCAATTGGCGAATCAGTCAGATAATGATCAAATGTCAGCTTAATGCGACTTTATTTTGAATTTATACAAACCTTTATTTACAGACAAATGTTTTTCTTTACTGTACAGATGAGAGTAGAATTTGGATTTTTATATCTAGTATTTATTTACCAAAATTAGAAATGTTTTTTACTTTTTATTTAATAAAAATATCCACACGTCATGAAAATAGCACTACAGAATCTGGAAGGACTGTAGTGTAGACAAATGGTTCTGTAATTCGGCCATTCTCAGATTAGCTAGTTTTTACGTGTCCGGGCTGTTAAATCCTTAAAAATGACAAATTAGAGACATGCAAGTATTTTTATATGTTACTTAACAACCCTGTCCAGTTGTGCATAAAATCATAGGCCTCTATTTTAAGTGTAAGTGGCTAAATTAATTTCATGAACCTCTGTTCTATAATTACCGTGACGCGTCCGCACACCGACTTACTGTTAAAAGGTGGCTGTAATTTTTATGTCGTATAGATTTAAATTACGCCATTCAACATTTTAAAGAGTTTATAAGATTGTCTTATGCTTGGCAAAATATCTATTCAATAGAACCATTCTGTAAATAATTATAATTAAAAAACCGCTTGTCCGAGCTAAAGTCCTAATTACCGTTACGTTTTCTGTTCGTGATCATACTAGCCTAAATAATAGTATTTGACACATCATTACCCCGCGCGGCGTTAGCCCTTAGTTAGTGCCTTGAGCTGTTAGCAAGTGGATGTCTATTGCGTTGGTGTAACCGTCGATGAATTGCGTAAGAGTATAATTACCATATCTTTGGTTTTCAATTTTTCTAATTACCATGTCCTTATTTTTATACTAGATTTATAAAGGTAGATCCACGTTGTTAGTTTAAATAGAAACATTACTTTGACCTCCGTACATTGTAGTAAGACAGAATTTGCATACCCTGCAGATTTTGGAAATTTTGAAGAAAAACTATCGTTTTATAATTTCCATGTACTAATTACCATATATTTATAATCACCGTTGTATGAAATTATTACCTACAAATTGCACTCACGATTGAATAAGTATAATGATAAAATATGAAAAAATACCTAGACTTTCGCATAACATCTTTACGGACTTTTCTTCCAATCTGACATCAACATTTTGAAAGCTTTCGTTAGAGTTACCTCTAAATAGATACCTCTATTTCATGACGAATGTTAAGCTTCAGTTGCTGCATGGTTGTTGGATTATAGAGTATATTTTAACTCTTAAGGTAACCCCAAAAAAGAAGTTAGCTGGAGTGATAATCGAGGCTTCCAGATGGCCAGGAGATGTCACCCCTGCGTGAAACATGTCTCGTACCAGATATTTATTTTTACTATTAATATCATTGATATTAGCATGTTAAATAATTAATTAATATTAATATAATACCATTAAAATCTATCCATATTACCTTCGCCCTAAGAAGAGATTGTCCAACAGTAATTACCTGGCGTGAACACATTAAGAACAAAAGGGAACAAATGAACAGACAATGGACTGCATCCTACCTGCCTAGAAAAAACATATGTATAGAAAAAACTTCGTGATATGCAATGGATAATGGGCAGAAGAAGCTTGCTTGGAGAATAAATTATTACAAATGCATCCTAAGACCCATGTAGACATATGGCATCAACCCAGCCTTGCAAATGTAGAAATACTTTAACGTTTTCGAAATAAAGTATTAAAAATCTTGAGCTGTGCACCTTGGTTTACAAAGTCCACTGAAGTGATACTATGATATGAAATATGTGTATAACTGTGATATGTATACCAAACGTCAAAGAGGAAATGTATTTGCTGCACCCCTTCTAAATTCTGAGAACTTTACAATCAGGCTCAGGAGAAAGCGAATAGCGTCAATCTGAAAACGTATTGTAAAAGAATCGAGGTGACAAATCATGGGATGTGCAGAGCTGGTGGAACTGTCATTATTACAAATTCAATCCAATCTAATAATGGCTGATGGTTGATCGCAGATAGATTTAAAAAGAGGAAGAAAACACCAATATCATTTGTGAGACCATTTGAGATCCATTAACTGTATCCATCGTTTGTACCACATTTAAAGCAAATGATGATGATTCAGATTCTGATTCAGCTAAATGCTCTTATTTGAAATGTGACACGTAGCCACACGTATTTGTGTACAAATTTATGAATGCAAGATGTTGTTTTTTTGTTATTTTACATATCTTTTCTAATTACCGTTACATTAAGTATTAGCCTTATCTAATTACCGTGACCATAAAATTTTTGGGTCTCATTTACGCGGAAACCCCTTTGAATATTTTGACGCCTTTACGATGGTTAAATTCGTACTTTACAGGTGTTTTATATTTAAATGCGTTTAAGTCAATTAAGCCAAATTTCAAAAATGATATGGTAATTAGGCTGAGAACGCCTAATCGTGAGAATGACCGAATTATTTAAGTTGTCTGCATTACGAAGCGAAGCTCGAATCCCGATTTAATCTTGCGAATACCTACATTTTGTCGCGTGAAAGTTTTAAGTAAACATTTTATTTCAACCATCAAGGGAGTATGAATAAAGTTTCGAGCCTTGCCTCTTTTCGTGATAGCATGAAAAGATGAGAACTCAATACATAGTACGTCTTCTTTGAAAGAATGAATCCGATTTTCTCGGACTTTCATAGAAGTTTCAAATTATAATGATTACTGATAAAAATCGGATATAATAGATAAGTCCAGTAGGTATCAAATACTTTTCAGACGTAGATCTTCCATGTACATTCTAACATCATTGAAAAAACTGGATAATTATTAATTAAACATAGTTATAACCATGTAATATCACAAATCACTAAAATATTATTCCATTACATTGACATAGGCCATGTGATGCGAGCATCAACATTTACAACAATAAAAAAATAAAAAATAGTTTGGTAAAAACTATCATATTATAATATGTTCAAATACATATAAATGTTCTCATAAGGGTTACAGTCTAGTGTTTTAATTAGAAAGTATTAATGGACGAAATATCAGAAAAGTACGTATTTATGATTCATCAAGTTGAAGTGCCTTTGTTTAAATGTGAATAAACTAACTAAAACAATTGCACAAGTGTGTATTATATTAATGATTATGAATACAATATACCTGTAATATGGTTATATAAACATTTTAAGAGTTCGTACAATATAATTAAACCACTTCAAAACAAGAATGACTAATTTTGTGGCTTCTACCCGTTCTCCTACAGATTCAATTAAAAGGGTATTGTCAAGGAATTATCTACCTAATAATTACATACGAGGTTTATTTCAATACATATTACAAAACTTACAATACTGTCTATTACCTACTTAACTTATCAAGTTCCTTCAATTTATTACTTGTAACATTGACTATAATAGCGAATAAGTACATGCCGTCGAAATGCTATCACATTTGTAACGTTAATTTTCCTAAAAGAGCTCTAAACATGGGCATTGTAAAATGGGAGACCACACAGGGAGACGACGAGAGACTATTATTTTTAACCCTTCATTTGATTTTGTTCACTGGGATGAACATTCAATTGAAAAAAATAATATGCCGAGTGCATACGTCTTAATTTCTGGTAAGTATTTTTTTTTACTAGAAAATATACTTAAGTTTTGGTAGAAAAATATTTTTATGTGCTAGTCACAGTCTGAAAGTGTTAATTTTAGCCAAAATGCCGGCCATAGCGAAGACCAGGCTTTAGTGTCAAGGTGTTTATTCAAGCTTTACATGTTTTTTATTATAATTGAGTAATGACAGTGGTTTTAACGTATTGCATAGTGTTCATGCTTAATAACTTGATTGATTTACAATGCTCATTTAATAAATAAGCTATGTTATACCAGGTCAAAGTCGAGTGTTCATCCCAGTGAACATTGCCAAATTACTAATAATCTTTGATTGTTCATCCCAGTGAACGTTGTCAAATAAGCTATGAAACGTTTATTTTTGCTTAATTTTATTTCAGTGGACTAATTTCTTTATTTAGAGTACAGAGAGCGAGATAGTGATACATAGGTTGTGCTTCAAGTAGGTATTCTAAGTCTGGCCTCCATTTTTATCTTTAGCTTCATGCTGTGGACTCCACGTAGTCTTGTCTGCCCTACCCCTAGCACAGAATAAGTAATAGTACAGGTACAGAAGGATTACTCCGCAAGACGATTTAAATAAATGCGAGTCTTGCTACGACGCGATACAGTGGAATTCAGCTCGCACAGCACTACCACAAAATATAACAGAAGACAAACTCCATACTANCCAGTGGACTAATTTATTTATTTAGAGTAATTTTTTATTTTGTTTGGGATGTTGGCAGCTTAATACTGTATATTGCATGAAATGTAATATCAGAATAATGTTTTGTAA